CTAATAAAATGTTAAAAAAGAAAAAGAAAAAAAACAAAAAAACCCAAAAACCAAAAACAAAAACAAAAAAAGAAAATCATGGCTAAATAAAAAGGAATTAAAAGGGGAAAGAGTAAATATGAATAGTCTTATTCTTTTCAATGGATTCCTAATTCTTTCCTAAAAAAATAACTCCCCCAGTGAGGGCCTTTACTGAAATGTAAGAAATCACTGGAATCAAATTAGCTGTGATCTGAATCCCTACTGGAACATTTCTAGTGATATGAAGCAGAACAAAAATACTCAATCTAACTCAACTGGGGCTATGAGAAATTGGATTCCAAAAATCACATTACATCTTCTACACAACATGCTCTTTTGTAGTATAAATAAATCAACCTATCAACAATCAAGAAAACCAAAAAGTCACCATCGTCGAGTCGATTCTGAATTGTGGCGAGCAATCAATAGTTTATTTCCTCTATCCTTGGATTTTGGCAGGCACTGCAACTAGCTTTGGTATAACATCTGGTGCACAAGGATGCTGCATCATTTCTGAAGCTAGGTTATATATGATGCTTTATGGTATATGTAGCTCTGTCTTAGAATGCACCGTAAAATTTTTAAATCCAGTTTTATTGACATATAATACACATATATCGTTCAATAGTTTAAACATATTAAAGAGTTGGGCAATCATCATAAGTATAAGACCTTGGTTTTCCTGATGGGTCTGGGTAAAAAGGTAGGAAAAGATAGTGATTGTATTATATGACTCAGCGGTGAGTGACTGTTAACAGGGAAAATTGTGATTGCCAGCATATCCTGCTGAGTATAAAATGAAGTATCTCAGACGCAGGAAGAAAGAGTAGACAGGAGTGAAGTGGTGCTTTGGAGCTCAAGATTCCAGCACGTTGAACTTCCTTGAAACAGCATTTCTCACCTGAATTGTAACTTGTTGACTTCCTTAAAAACCTGATAATCATGAGTACTGTCAGTTAGTTTTGTGTGGTCATAACGCAGCCAAAGATGTAGAATGGGAGTGCAGCTGGTAGCAGAATAGAAAAAAAGGGATGGATGATGGCAACTTGTGGGACCTCCGCCTCGTGGCAATCAGCCTCCGGAGTCTGGGGTCAAATGTAGCCCTAATGTTATTTCCCCATCCTCCAGAACACTCTCACATATACATGACCTTTTTGGGGTTGTGACTGGCACTATACTAGGTTTGCAGATTAACATAAGGAAACTTAAGATCTTTGCATTACATTTTGCTCAGCAAAAAGATATGCTGTTCACATATTTAAGTATTCTTCCATTCCACACAGTAAAGTTTTATGGTTCTCTCTACACATATGTGTGTATGTGTAAGTTTACTGCTAGGTATATATGTTTTTTAATGGATTCATCTTCAAACTGGTTGTTAGTATACTGGAAAAGAACTTAGCGTTTAGCTTTTAGAGTATGCAAAATTTTCTTTTTAATTCAATTCTATTTTAATTGTGAGTATGCACAATGTGTCATAATGTTTTGCTGCTATCTGTAAAGCTTTCAGTGGCTAATTTTTCAGAAGTGAACAATTTTTTGCTTCTTCCTAGTGTTAGTCTGGAAGTTCCACTGAAACCTGTCCACCATGAGTGATCATACTGGGAAGGAAATATTGGAGGCAGAGCTTCCAGCATCACAGAGGCACCCGACTCAACAAACTGTCATAAAGCAACTGAGAAGTTTATAACATCATATTCTCAGTCCTTTAATAGCACAAAGATTTTAATTTTCTAACCACCCAACACAAATATATTCAAACAAGTCTAATCCGAGTCTATAAAAGCTGGGACTTGTCCACAGGAAGATAAAAAGAAGCCTAACTTACTAATTCCCATTTAAGATTCAATTCCGTTACACTGTTCTAATTATAGAATTAACATATCAAAATTCAAGATTTATCTATCAATATTCATGACTCATATTATTGCATAATCTCGGGCAATTAAAAACCTCAAAGCCTATACCATCACAAAGCAAGAATCTAAAAATAAAAATGCATTGGGAAGAATAAAATGTTCTTCTTAATTAAAAATTTAGGTTACTATACACAAAGTAGAAACTTCAAAAGAATTTGCTTGAAAGTTTTTCCTAAATAATGAAAGGCCACTTAGGTCAATTTAAGAATATCATAATTATTGATTATACTGCACATGGAAAAACTAAAGCTTTCTGTTTATAAGAAAGCTACCAAAGACAAATTGAACACATTTTCTTAGCCTTTACTTTTCACGAAAAATACAGACAGGGAAAGGAAGGATTTTTTTCCTAAGATTCCTGTATTCCCTTTCCGTACTGCAACCAGTACCCATTCTAGAGTTTTGGCCTGCAATTTTGTGCTTCTTCTTTCGACATTTTACTTGTTAAATAAAGAATAGGGGATGAAGTCTCACAGATTAGAACCTCTCCAGACTCCTTACCTCTCACACCTAAATATTGGCCTGAGGCAATTAAAGGAGGCAATAAAAGGAGGCAAAGTAAAACTGAAGTGGACTTGGATTCTTTAGTGATATACAAGTAAATGAAAATAAATAAATAAGAGTAAACAGAAAGGGAGAGTCGAACTCAATGTTAATTAAAATATAATGTCAACTGACAATCACACTTGACTGAAGTACTGAAAGCTTCTCTTAAGACCAGAATAAGACAAGGAAGTATTCCCTCATCACTTCTGTTAATCATTGTACTGGAAATTTTAACCAGGGAAATTAGGTAAGAAAAAGAAAAAAGCATTCGGATTAGAAAAAAAACCCAACTCTCTGAATGAACAGATTATAAGATCTTACATATGGCACATCACAAGAATACACACACACACACACACCCCCTATTACAGCTAAGTGAGTTAAGCAAGGTGGCAGTAATCAACACGCCAAAGTCAATGACATTTTCATATATTACCAATGAAAGCTCATGGATTGGCAGACATAATGTTATGACAGTAATAATCCCCCCAAAGAGTATATATTCAACTCAATTTCTCTCAGAATCACAGCCACCGTCCATGGAAACTCAAAGAAACCAGAAGAGCCTAGGCAAACTTGAAAAGGAAAACAAACGTGAAGGACTATTACAAAACTACAGTAATCAAGACTATGTGGTACTAGTTTATGGACACTACGTCTCATTTGAAAATTTTTATTATCACCAATTATTTGATATATCCATATTAATATAAACACAAGCAGAATAGTAAGACAAATAAACTGTTTTAAAGTACAAAGAAAAAATTACAATTTAAAAATTGGAGAAAAAGATTTTTAGTCTACAAAATTATACATCACTGACGCCCCGCAACCCCAAAATAAGCAAAACCAATAAACCAAACAATTCAAAGTAACAACCCATGAACACTGCTTCTATTTAAACATTTCTAATAACCATCTCACCAGAAGCCCTGGTGACACAGTGGTTTTGTGTTGAGTTGCTAACTGCAAGGTCAGAGGTTCAAAACCAGCAGGTACTCCACAGGAGAAAGCTAGGGCTTGGATAGCATACTAAAATTCTATTGCCTGCAAAGACAGAATCCCAAAGTATTAAAAACCAAACTGTGCCACTGAGTCTATTGTGATTCAGAGCGACACTTTAAAATAGAGTAGCGATGCCTCTGTGGGTTTTCAAGACCACCCAACCCTTTACAGGAGTAGAAAGCATCATCCTTCTCTGTCAGAGTCAACTGCTGACCTTGAGGTTCACAGTTTAACGTATAACCCACTACACCATCTGAATACAGAGTATTTATATAAAAGTAACCATTTATGAAAGATAGCCTCTGGTGGAAGCAAATCATAATTATTTGAAACTAAAACCATAAATTCCTATGTCGAAATTTGATTTTAAAAAAAGCAACAGTATTCCTCAAAATAATTTAGTATTGTTTCATTTAATACATTTATGACTTAGTGATAATAAATTTTTACATTATAAGTGTTAGAAAAATAAATCTATGGTCATTTTGCTCTATCAAAACTGTATAGAGAAAGGCATAGTAATTTTTAAAATGTGAAGAAATGAACTTACGTAAGTTGGTATTTCCAAACTATCTGTGTTGACCAGTACTGGAGGAGGATTTGCCTTTAAAGAAAGAATTTTAAATGAGTTAGCTAAACAAGAAAATAAAAGCATTACATATTAATTCTCACAAATGTTAGAAGCATATGAATGATGCCATTTCTTGGACCAAAATTTTATATGAGCTTTTCATATACTAAAAATCTATATACAGGTTCCAGCTCGAAAGGGAAGAAAAATGAGGTATATGCAATGAGATTAAATTAAATTTGAGAAAGAAACTGCTATTTCTGCTAAAGTAGACATAATTTTAAGCTTTGAAAAGAAGTTCACCCTTTTTCATAAAATCCACATATTATTTAATATAACAACTTTTTCTAAGATGATTCAAAACATTAGCTTTTTTTATTTCCAGGGAAACCTGTAACAATTCCAATCATATCATTCAGGGAAAAAGCAAAAATTTCTTCCCCCTGTTGAACAAAGGGGGTTTTTGAACAAAGGGGGACCAATAAAAGGAGGCATGCCATGCACACAAAGGAATTAATCTAAATTGTGTAGGAAATTGGAACATGTGAAAGCACCCAAACATTTCCAACTGCAATTATTGCTCTCCATCCATCTGTTATTTTAGACTACTCACAGTGGTCTATCACAGGATTAAGAAACAAAAACAGGAGTAAAAATACACTATCTTTCTCCTGCATACTTAAGATTATCAAAGTATCAATATCAAATGACAATATTTTTATTGATTCAAAGAGATGACAATCTTTTTTTTTTTCTTTTTGCTGCTCATCGTGTTGTCTATGGATCCTCTTATGAGGAGTTTGGCTTTGCTTTCTTTCTTTCTTTTTTT